AAAAAAATTATAGCCAAGTGATTGCACAACTTATTTTAAAGGCAATTTAACCATTTGGGGTGTTCTCAAATTGTTATGGTAATTACTGCATGATTTTCCTTGATATGATTGAACTATTGAATTGTATGATTTGTAAATTATATGCCAAAAAACTGTTAATAAAAAAATTTAATGCATAGCTTTTAACAAAAGTCCAGTTTTGGGGAGGGTACCCCTCATATATATCCAAACTCACTGCCTTCAAGTTGATACCAACTCACAGCGACCTATGGGACACGCTTGAACTGCCTCTGTGCTTTGGAGACTGTAACTCTGTTTGCTTTTCTAATAATTATATTGGGGGCTTGTACAATTCTTATCACAATCCATCCATCCATCCATTGTGTCAAGCACATTTGTACATTTGTTGCTCTCATCATTTTCACAACATTTGCTTTCTACGTGAGCCCTTGGTATCAGCTCCTCATTTGAGGGTGGGGGAAGGAGGGGGGGAAAAGAGAAAATGAGACTGTAACTCTTAATGGAGTAGAAAGCCCCATTATTTTCTTGTCGAGAGGATGGTGGTTTCAAACTGATGACCTTGAAGTTAGTAGCCCAGCATGTAACCACTATGCCACCACCTTCAACCCCATGCTCTGTGGATGCAGAGATACTAATTTCAAAGGAAGGAAGGCTCCCACCTGGAGACACAACACCGACTCCATTGAATTGGAAGTTGATAATCACAACTAGCTACTCTGGGATCGTCATCCTCTGCATGGAAAGGAAAGGGTGGCTGCATTGACTGATGTGATTGATCCTGATTACCTGGGGAAATTGGATTGATATTATATAATGCAAGTAAAGAAGACTACGTCTGGAACATAAGAGAGACCTTAGTACTATTATTCCCTAATGATTAAATTCAATGGAAAATTACCAACCCCATTCTGACATGCCCACCAGTAGTCAGGAAACCCAGTTCTGCTCTGGGAAAATTGGTATGTTGCTGAAGTACAGAGTGCACACAGTTTTTAATTTTTATTTTAGAATGAATTAAAAAATGTTTAAATATAATACTCATATATCTCCCTTTTTGCTTACAGGGCATTAATCTATACGGGGCTCATACATTCTTCTTATGCCTTGAAGACACCAGTGGATCCTCATTTGGGGTTTTCCTGTTGAACAGCAATGCCATGGGTAGGAAGCATATTTTTATCTTGGCAGGATTTGGGATGCTACGTTTACAAAAATGTTTTGCAAAACTGGTGAGATAATAACTGTTTAACAGAAAATACATCAGACCTACAACATTTTTTTATAGAAACTGCAACTTCTAAGTAGGTAAACCTGTCTATAAATGCAGGTCATAATTTTTTTTATGGCAAACTGCTCCAGAATTAATGTTTCCCATAATATTCTGTGGATAATAGAATCTCCCATTGACTGACATTCCCGCAGTGCCTGCGGAGTTCTGCTATTATATCCCACTACATTTTCAGGCAAAAAGGCTCTGCTTTGTAAGCCCTTGTCACATCACTTCTTTCACCGCTCCAGGGTGCTTTCCCTCTGGCTTCTCAATTAATGGGGCCTAAGCAACCCATTGGTCTGTGATCTGCATGGTCAGCAGTTTGAAACCCCCAGCACCTCCGGAGAAAGACTGGGCTTTCTACTCCGGTAAACAGTTACAGCCTCAGACCCCCACAGGGGGCCACCGGGAGTCAGCATTGACTCAATGGCAGTGAGTTTGGTTTTTGGTTTAAGCAAACCTGATGGATTAGGTAATGCGGTGCAAGGTCAGTGATTAAAACCCACCCACTGCTCCAGAGAAAGATGAGGCTGTCTGCTCCCATAAAGATTCCCAGCCTCAGAAACCCACAGAGACAGTCCCACAGGGTCACTGCATCAGAACTGACTTGCTGACAGCGGGTGTTTTGTGGTTTTTTTCAGTGGAATCTGGGTCTTGCATGTAGTTTGCTGCTAACTAGCTGCTAATGCAAAGGTTGTCTGATTCTACACAGTGGTTCCACTGCAAAGGAGTCTAGAAATCTGCTTCCAGCAAGGATATCCAAGAACATGCTACAGAGCACTCTGTGGCGGCGGG